CGTGCAGGTCGATAAGGAATTTTATATCCCCCACACCGCGGCGAGTCTGGCGGTGCAGTCTACACCACAGAACTCGATACGATCGCAAAGATGGGCGCATCCAAGAAGAACAGACGTGAGCCTGCAGTCTCTCTTTTTACTATGACATCTGCCTAACACAAGCAGAACCCTCGCTCCACTCGAGAGCCGCAAGGCGGGCGACGGACGTCGACATCGACACCGACAAGTCTCTCAAGGAAGTCAAGGCCCCGGCCGCCGCGACCGACTTCCGGCCGTCGGTCCTCAACGCCCAGCACAACTCTGGCGTGTCCAAGAAGACCAAGAACCGCAAGGCGCAGATGAGCGCCAAGGCCAAGGAGAGGAAAGAAAAGGCGGCGGACCGCGCCGAGGCCATCATGGGGCGGACCTCGACCAAGACGGAGAAGAGCAAGGACAGGGCGCGGAGGGTCCAGACGCGGAGCAAGCAGTGGGAGGACATCAACAAGGGGGCCATTGCGGCCAAGAAGTTCCCCAACGAGGAGGATTCCGAGGTGGAGCAGAGGCAGACGAAGAGCAGGACCGTCGAGGCGGCTGCTGGCAAGGGCTGGGAGACGGACGAGGAGATGGACGGCGCTGATGATGTCGCCGCTGCGTCTGCGCCAGCTGCTGCTGTGCCGGCACCTCCCCCAGCAAACGACGATTTCGACGAGGAGATTTTGTAGTCCGTTGTCAGTTTCGGTTCAGGTTGCCCAGAGAGGTGGTCCTCGGGCTATGAGACTCATGATAGATACCCAATGATGACCATTCTGCATACAGGTCCTTGAAAGTTTTCGAAAGCCTCGACGCAAAGTGCATGCCGCCCTTCTGCCTCAGTCGGTCACAAATTTGGACGTCTTGGAGGGGCCAAAAGCTCTGCGACAGCGCCAGGTCCACTAAAAACGCTAAACTTACAGGGCCACCCAGCGGGGAAACACTTGTGCAGTTCCGTCCCTCCGCCAGGGGACCTGAGGTGCCGTACCTTGCAGCCTCGATTTTCTGCCGGACGTCATCCAATTCACCATCCACGCCATCCACACAAACCACAAGATGCCACCCAAGCGCATGACCGCGAACCCGGTCAAGCCGGGACGCTACTTCCCCGGCAAGGCCGTCCCCCAAGAGGACTCATCAGACTCGGACGCGAGCGATGACGAAGAAAAGGCAAACGACGACACAAGCAAGGCCCGCGCGATCAAGCCGCCGCCAAAGGCATCGAGCGCCGCCAAGATCGCGAGCAACGTCAGCAAAGTCAACCTCGACGAACGGAGGCGCGAGGCGCAGGACAAGGAGAACCAGAGGATAGCGCGCGAGAAAGCGGAGCGGCTCGCTGCGGAAGAAGGTTTCGTCACAGAAGAAGAAGAGGAAGAGGGGGAAGATGACGATGAAGGCGAAGAAGAAAGCTCCAGCGAGGAGGAAAGCAGCAGCGAAGAAGAAGCACCCCGCCGCCTCATGATCCGACCCAAATTCATCCCAAAGAACCAGCGCAACGCAGCAGCGGCAGCCGCCAAAGGACAGTCGTCCACCAAAGACGACGAGACGCGCCAGGCAGAAGAAGAAGCCCGCCGCAAAGCCGCCGCCGACGCCCTCGTCGAAGAACAAATCGCAAAGGACCTCGCCGCCCGCGCCGCCGGCAAAAAGCACTGGGACGACGACGAGGCCTCGGGCTCCGACGTCGACACGACAGACGACCTCGACCCGGAGGCCGAACTCGCAGCCTGGCGCCTCCGCGAGCTCAAGCGCGTCAAGCGCGAGCGCGACCGCATCGCCGAGCAGGAAGCAGAGTACGCCGAGCGCGAGAGGCGGCAGAACCTCACGCAAGAGGAGCGCGACGCCGAGGACGCGGACAAGATTGCCGCGCAGCAGGACGAAAAGGACGCCAAGGGCAAGATGTCGTATCTACAAAAGTACTACCACAAGGGCGCGTTCTACAGCGAGGAGGCGAAGGCGTACGGGCTCGATAAGCGCGATCTCATGGGCATGCGTATTGCGGATGATGTCAAGGATCGCAGCGCGCTGCCGGAATATCTGCAGAAGCGCGACATGACGAAGTTGGGACGCAAGGGCGGGACAAAGTACAAGGATCTCAAGAGCGAGGATACCGGACGATGGGGCGAGTTTGATGACCGGCGTGGCGGGGGTGGTGGTGGTGACCGGAGGAGAGGCGGCTTCGATAGGGATGTGGACGAGCGATTCCGGCCGGACAATGATCGTGAGGTTAACGGTGCCAACGCCATTCCCTTGGGTGACCGCAAGGCGCCTTCAGCTGGTGGTAGAAGTGATCGTGATAGGTATCGCGACGACAGAGACGACCGGCGCAGAGACCGGGACGACTACCGCCGTCGAGATCGGTCGAGGTCGAGGTCGCCGCGCCGCGACTCGCGGGACGACTACAGCGATAGGCGGAAGCGCAGCCCGTCACGCGAGAGAGAGCGCTACGACAGCGACAAGCGGAGGCGCGTGGACTCTAGATAAACCCACCAAAAGAGAAAAGACACTGGTCGTCATTGCAAAATGTATTAAGAAGCGTATCCTGATCAGGCTCACTACGAGCGCATGCTGAATATACCCTCCCAACCAAACTCCGAGGCCTTGAAAGAAAACCCTTTGCCATCGTAAACGTCATGCAGGTGCGCTTCAAATCTTCTTAATCTCCACCCTCGCGCGCTCAAACACGCCGTGGCTCACCACGGCCGCGGACTGGCCCGCGTCGGCCTTGGGAGGGAACAGCGTCAGGCGGGCGTACGTGCCGGCGCCGCGTCTCTTTGATAGGTAGCCCGGGTTGATCACGAGGACGCTCTCGACGACCTAACATTGTCAGTATGATCCCACAGTATACAGTCGACAGACTCACCTTGGCAAACGGGGGCAGGAAGCTGGGCGCCACGAGCACATCAGGGCGAACGTTGACCATCTCGCCCAGCTTCAAATAACTAAGATCCAGCATGGCACCAGGCGGGATGCCCTCCTCGGTCCCCGTCTTGGGCAGCTTCTGGCGGTCCGTCGGCGGGAAGAGCGGGAAAAAGTGCCTCTGCTCCAACAGGTACCTGCTAAGCCTCGACAACAGCGACGGATCCGCGGGGCGGCCGCCAACGAGCTCCTCGTGCCGCAGCTGCCAGAGAATATCCTGCGACGAGATGCCCATGACCATCTCGTTGACGGACAGCGTCATCGGGTTGGTGACGATCCTCGCCGTCTTGGGGAGGCCGAGCTCCTTCTTCAGGACCGAGTCCTGCGGCCACGAGACGTGCTTGTCGATGACGTCGCGCACCGAGGGGACGAGGAGGATGGTGATGCTGGGGTTGGCGGACACGAGGCGGTTCAGGGCCGGGGAGAACATGTACTTGAAGACGGTCGACATGGTGGCTGTGTCCGGCTCGATGACGGCTTCCTCGGGGAGGTCAAAGTCGCCCATCGCAATCAGAGGGTGCTCGCTGTCGATGAACGGCCCCGTCAGCACCAGTGCGTCCGCGTACGTGTCGGCGGCTTGGTCGCAGAGGGCGTGCAGCGGCTCAAAGTCGAGGTTGTCATCTGCCGTGTACGGACCGGAGGCGTAGAGAATGTTGAGGGGCGCCGGGTCTGCGTCGGTGTCCATGGCGTCGGGGTCGCCTCGTAGTTTCTCGCGGTGCGCAGCCAGTGCGGCCGGCGTCGAAGCCGCGTTGGGCAGAAGAGGCACTTCAAGCACATCCTCGACGACAAACTCGTTGCCCGAGGTGTTGATGCCCCTGAGGGCCACAATCTGGCCAGGGAAGAAGCTGTACCCCTTGTTGCGCATGTTAAGGGGCGCTCGCAGACCACCGCCCACCCGCCTCGACATCTCCAGCACCAGCGATGCCGCGTTCAGCTTCCCCTCTGGCGCATCCGAGGCGATGCGTCCCACGGCAATCACCTCTGTTGTGCTCTGGCTCGCCGCGTTGCCGAATTCTGAAAAGTCCAGCTTGTGGTAGTCCTGGATGATGTGCATGAACTCGTCTATCCTGTCGTCGAGGATCTCCGACGCCTCTGACAACTTCATCGCCAGGGGCTTGTACGCCAGCTTCTTCTGGTCTGACGCCGCCGTCAACTTGATGCGGGGTTCGGGGTACGGGCAAATCGGCGGCTCGGGAGCGTCGAGGTGATCATTGAGCACTTCCACCGTCTCGCCGGCGTTCTGTCGGTCGTTGAACGAGCTGGGTCTGCTATCGTCAGTGTCTGTGTGAAGGGTAGGGCCTGCGTTCCTACAGTGACATTGCGTTGAGCTGCTCCTCCATCTTGGAGGCGCCCTTGTAGTCTGGCGAGCTCGAGGGGATCTCGGCCTTGACCCGCGACATTGTCGGCGTCTCGTGCGTCTTCTTCCGCAGACTGCTCGGCTTGTTCAGCCTCCCTGAAGCCGGCGTACTGGGCACCAGTCCATCCAGCATGCCAAAGACGTCGCCGCCGCCTCTTCCGGCTCGCGGGGTGCCGTGACTGCGCTTCTCCGTCTTGATGTGCGTCTGCTGTCGGTTGCTCTTCTCCAGTGCGTCCTGGATATCCTTTTTGAAGTTTCGCACGTGCACAATGTCGGGGTTCATGGCGTCCATGTCCATCTTGATGCAGAAGGACTCCCATTTGTAAAAGAGGTCCTCGGCGGACAGGTCGTGCAGGCGCAATAGGGACTGCAGTTCGGTGAGAACTTCAGGCTCAAGAGCCTTGTCTCCCGAGGTGAAGAACTCCTTCAATTCCGCTTCCGCCATTGTTTCTGGTGCTGTTGTACGTGCCGTGAAGTTGAGCGCCGGGAAGTTTGACGACGGAACATTTAGGTGGGACGCGACGAGCGCGTCTTGGTGGGATGGCGCGTAAAGTGTTGGCGGGGCAAACAGTGTGGGGAAAATTGGCACGGTTTTGCGACGACACCTCGTGGACGAGCTTCTTGCCCGCTTGACTCTTGAGTTTGGTTCTTCTATCCGTACTTGGATACCTAAACGTGCTTCGCTACCACTCGCTGATGGCATCTCCCCAATAAACCCCTACCAGACAATATTGTTGCGAGCCCAGTCCTCCTGACGATCGGCCTCCTGCTGTGCCATGTAATCCTCCGTGGCCGTTCTAGCCATCCGAGACGGAGCGAACTTGACGACGGCCTCCGTGCTAACCTCATACTTAACAGTACCGTCCTTGTGCTTGGCGCCGAGGTCCGCCATACCTCCGGTGAGCTGGTCAAGGTAGGAGCGGTAGTTTTCGGACTTGCGGATGCTGCATCGGGTCGACTCCGACTCGGAGTGGGCGGTCAAGGACGACGCATCCCTGAAGTAGCGCAGACAGCCGGGGCACTGCAGCTTGGCATTGTAGTGCGAGGCCGCTGACTTCATGTGGGTGATGAGAGCGCCGCTGTTGGGGAATGTCTTCCTGTTCTGGTGTTAGTATCTTGCCATGCGGTTAGGGAAGGGGCCACGAACTTGCAGGACGGCTGCGGACACTTGTACTTGCGCGTGAGGGTGTTGTAGTACTGTCTAGGATCGAAGAGCCGGTGAGACGGATTATTCACGTCGTCCACGACTGTCTTCTTGCCATCGTCCGACTGCTGGATGCTCTCCAGGCTCTCAGCGACATCCTTCAGATTGGGAAAGTCCTGGGGCTTGAAGAAGGACGGATGGGCCATGTAGGCCTTGTCGTCGAACTCGGACTGCGCGTCCACAGTGGATACGGCATCGAGGTTGGACTGCGCCTCGAAGGCGGACTGGACGCTGGGGTGGGACACGGGGAAGTAGTCTCCGAACTGGGAGCCGCTGCGCTTCTCGAGCTCATGGGAAAAGGTGAGCTTCTTTGCGCGGTTCTGGTCGACGTCTGCGCGGCGAATTCCCGGGCAGTCGTCAAGCTCGAGGTGTCTCATCCACCCAGCCAACCGGACAAACTTCTTCTGACAGCCGGGACAGGTGAGGTTCTGCTCCTGAGGGTGTGCCTGTTCTCGTTAGTCCATGTTCAGTGCTGGAGATCCGGTTGCACTCACCTCCAGAAGATGCTTGTTCAAGGCGTCCTGGCTGTTGAAGTCGCGGGTGCACACGGCGCAGTGGATGTGGGTTCCTTCGGTCAGCATCGCCATGCGCTTGTGTCCCATCAGCTCCTCGAAGCTGGGGAATCTCCGGCTGCAGACGCTACAGAAGACGGCCTCATGGGGGGCCGGCTTGCGGATCAGAGGCCTGCTGGACGTGCCGCTGGTGACAGACATGGTGATGATTCGAGCAGTGTGATTTGGAACAGGGGGTGAATTTGAACGATTCGATTTTACTGAGACGAAGGTGGCAGGTCTTGTAATGAAGATGGTTCGCTGAATATTCTCTGTGGCGGAGAGGAAAGATGGAAGAGATTCCGATGCCGCTGGTGGATTTTATAAGCGAGAGGGTTTGGCTGCGTGCTGAAAAGGAAGGAGAGACATGGGCAGAGGGAAGGAACGAGTCACTCTTGGCCCCTATTCAAAAACGGGTGCGAATCTGTTCCGTCTCCTATTAATGTGTCTACTTCAGTTGCCAGGACCAAACGCAAAGGTCTCCTCTACAAGTCGCGTCGGCGACGTCGTTTGGCGAGAGACAGCGCGTGTGTTCGCTAGCCATCGTCGTCAATGTGTATGGCTGTCCAGGGCCCATCTCTCGGCCAAGAAGTGGGAGTATCTCCGCCATCAGAAGACACACCCACTTTGGACCATCAGGCGTCCTTGAACTATTCACCTTACGAATAAACCTTGAACATCGCCAAGCAGAGCCGAGCGACGATATCACGGAGACTTCGGTTCTTGGATCAACAGACACAACATAGATCTTCAGGAAATGGTAGCGGACCGACCCCTCGTCAACAGAGAACAAGACGTCCTCAAACAAAACAACAGAGACTATGGGGCAAGGAATTCGAGCAGTCGATACAGTTTTCGTGAGATTTATATAGGAGCCTCGGCCGAACCTTATACAGTCGGACCCCTGGTACATCTCGTGTCCAGAGTCCAGAGCTATGAGGAAACCAACTATGAATGGAAAAGCTGCTCGCTAGAACGATGAAAGATGGCACAGCTTCTTGGAAGCCTAGGTGCGTGAAATTATGCTGCCCCCATTCTGCGTCTGGTTCTCGCTACTCTTTGTGGGCATCCCCAGAGTCCGGAAACTTGAACCGCAGGCTTTGGCTTTGATCGTCATCAGTCGGAAAGCCGGAAAGCAATTTCTAATTAGACTACGGGAATTCCGACTATTCGACAAGTTGAACATGTGTGGTGTGTCCAAACAACCTCGGACGGCGGATCATCAGAGCATCCTACGATCTGGCGGGAGAGGGGGAGCACACCTGTCCACACCAAGGCATCTGAGACTCTGCAAGAGCATTTAATCGCCTCCGAGCACATCTGCCCCTTGCCGCACCAGAACCAAACCCCAAGGCCCAAACTCGTCTTGGAAATCCACGCCTTCACATGCTTCGTAGCATCGCAATCGAAGTTACGACCCCGGCACATATGTCTTGAACAGCCAAGCTTTGGAATCGCCATGTGTCGTCGAACTGGAATGCCGATGATGCCGGCCCTGTCTCGGGTGACTCAGATACAGGCCGTTTGAACCGCTCTCTGGGGTCGACGTTCCCAGTCTGCCAACCACCGAAATCCAGTCAGCTGCAACGGCGAGACAGGAGTGTCTGAGACAGTCTGACGTTTCTTTGGCGTGACCTTTGCCATCCAGGCAAGCGAACCCCTCCACCTCACCCAGAAGCCCATGGCGGTCATCGAATACAGGGTTGCCACGAAGGAGTTCTTCAGGATGGCGGCTGTTCTGCGACGGACCTTTCATGCCGGACGCAGGCAAAGTACGAGACTCCTTTACATCGAAGCAGACATCGAGAACGCCACAGTGATGGCGTGAGTTGACGTGTAACCACGCCTTCCGCGCCTCGCCATGCAATTGCCCAGATCAGATCGATCCATCTATCCTATCCGAGACACTGCAACACCATCAAGTCAACTTAGAATACAAATAGGACTCATCACCTCGGTATCGCTCGCCAGCGCGCGCCTCATCCCTCGCCCAAAGATTACAAAATCTCTGCAGCCCATTCAGTGGCCCTCTCCACCAGAACAAAGGAAGGCCGCTCACCAGCCTCCGGCACTAACTTCGTCTGGACATACTTGATTCAAAGAACGAGCCCACCAGCCACTTGCTCCCACAGTTTGCGCGGAAAGACGACAATCGGGTGCGCAAATCTAGAGCGGAATCCACCAAAGCAGCGTATTGCCGTTTGGCTATTCTTTTGGTGGCTTGATTCTGCGCCGGCAGCACCGCAGCCCCGGGTTCATCAACAAAGCCACCGGGTCGCCTTCTAGACAAAGTCGGCGATCTCTCTACCCGCTTGTCGACATTCCCGCTAGCCATTGAAGTTTGACCTGCCGGACTGAATAGTCTTAAGGAGAAAGTCCGCCCCTTTTCGCGCTGACGACCCGCCGCGAGGACCACGTACGAAAATAGGAGGTCGGAAACATCGGAGCCCCTATTCAAACATACAAATAGCAACCTCACGGCAAACCCGCACCTCAATTCACAATGTCCCTCACCCAAAAGCTCAAACGGGAGGCGACAAGCCGTTCCACCTGCGAAATGCCTCTCCCCTTCCTCCCCTTCGTCTTCCTCGCCCACTTCACCCAGACAATAACTTCCGTCCTCACCACGGAAGCCCACCGCACAACAGCGAGCGTCTCTAACCACCTCGAGGGCCTGCGCCTTCAGGTCCACGGGCCCGAACACACCTTCCACCCCTTCTCCCGGTTGCCAGCCGAGCTGCGCCTCAAAATCTGGCAGCACGCCTGCGACCACCCGCGGACGCTCCTCGCAACACATGCGCCGAACCCGACTTTACTTGCAGTGAACCGTGAGGCGCGGTATGAGGCCTTGCGGCGGTATACACTCGTCCGGCTAAACACCTGGGGCGACAGGCGGATCTACATCGATTTCTTGCGGGACAGCATCGCCGTCGTGGAGGGCAAGGGTGGCGGCGGATTCCCTGTTCGCGGGGCGAGGCACGTCATTGTCGTGTGCGAGGAGCCGTTTCGGAACCCGGGTTCGTGGTTGAAGTGTCGGTACCGGGCTGGGTTGGAGACCTTGACGCTGGTGCTGAGCGGGACGAAGACAGGCAGCAGGATTCCTGCGCCGCTTCCTGAGATCCGGGAGCTGTGTACGCCCGAGGAGGTTCAGCTGCGGCTTGGGTACTCGAAGGAGGAGGCGGATAGAATAGGGGAAGAAGTGAGAGAGTTGGCCGAGGGGTGGGGGAAGACGCGGATCCGCGTGGGGGAGTTCATCTGAGCTCCAGAGGCAGAGACAATGACGGAGACGGAGGACGAAGCGTAATGATCCATCGACACGACATCACAATACCCATTTCCATGTAGTCAATCTTCTTAATTCTAAACTCGTACACCATCCTACAAACCCTCAAAGCTTACTCCGCCCAAGATAAACCTCCCCAAGCCTCAACTGCTCAGCCGCCTCCTTCACCATCTCCTCCACAATCTCCCCCGCCGGCTGAATCCTATCAATCGCGCCCGCAACCTGCCCCATCAGATGCGGAATCTCAATGTCCTCCCGCCCCTGCTCGAAATCATGCTCAATCGGCACCGTCCCGCCCTCCGTCAACCTCTTAATCTCCTCCGGCCGCGCGTGCCACCCGCGGATATACTCATTCGTCTTCATCCTTAACGGCCGCCCGCTAATCACCAGCGTCCTCTCCGTCCCCTCGAACCCGCACGACACCACCTCCTCCTTGTGCTCCTGGCTACAACCCGCCTCCACGCTCGCCACGAACCGCGTGCCGACCCACACGCCGACGGCCCCCTGCATCAGCGAACTCGCCAGGCTGCGGCCGTTGTACATCCCGCCCGCGGCGATCACCAACGCCGTAGACCCCTTGAGCATGGGCGGCTTATACCGCCTCGCGACGTCCACCACCGCGGGGATGAGCACCGAATTCGCCACGTCGCCCGTGTGTCCGCCCCCTTCGCCTCCCTGCGCGCAGATAATATCCACCCCCAAATCCAGCGCCTTCACAGCGTGCTTCGGATGCCCGACCATATTCATGACATAAATCCCCGCCGCGTGCAACCTCTCAATCACTTCTTTGGGGGGAACCCCCACCGCGCTCACAAACAACCGCGCGCCAGAGGCGATCGTAATGTCGATGAGCTCGTCGAGCTTGCCGCCCGTGTAATCGTGGTTCGTCTTGCGCGCGTTCCCGCCGACCTGCGGCAGCGCGAGGTCCACGCCGAACGGCAAGTCGGGGGACTTGAAGTTCGCCTTCATCTCGGCAATGATCTCGCGGAGTTGGTCGGGGGTGTACTGGAAGCCGCCGATGACGCCTAGGCCGCCGGCGTTGGAGACGGCTGCTGCCAGGGGGCCGCCCGAGGTGCGGGCCATGCCGGCGAGGAGGATCGGGTGCTGGATGCCCAGGAGCTGGGTTATGGGTGTTGTGATGGGGCCGGAGGGTGCCATCTTGACTGTGGTCTGTCTTACACTGGTCTTGGCGAGGAGTTGTGCTGGTAGTCGCTCTCTGGTTCTCAAAATGGCAAATGGCGCATAGGAGAAGCGTAAAGTGATGTACAAATCAAGAAAGCGTAACAAACAGCCAAGAGGTTGGGAATAAAAGGGAGCTCAATGACACGCCTGGAGCTAGTAGTCGAGTAGTCGTGCCGAAGCACCTAGGTAAATCCGGGGTGAAGAGTGTGGGGTTGGGGGCGATTGGGGGGAGCTCTTTGCGGGGAATTTACACCGAGGCAATTGCCTTGTTGGGACAGCAGCTCGCCCGCCCGTGACCCCGACCCCTACCTCCGGCCCCCGAGCGGCCTGAAACGGGCAACCACAGCGGCATGTGAGTCGGCCATTCTCTGCTCCGTCCTCCGTCCGACCGTCCTTCCGTCATGGATAATAGGCCCAGCAGTCACGACATCACGGCACGAAGAGGGAAAAAAGTCAAATTGAGTGCGCCGCGCCATGCACTGCTTCTATTGAAATGCTGCCCTCATCTCCCTGCATTGGTATCGTTATGACATGATTATCGTTGGCGTCGCCCAACTAGTATACAATAAGAACCACGTTGTACACGTCCCCTGGGCACTCTGGTCTATCGAAAGCTCGGTAGACGCGCCGGGACGAACTCCTCGGTCCGTATGTACTGCTCTTGTGTGGTGGACCGGATGACGGGCGCGTCGTCGCCGTGCGTAGACCTCGGCGGCGATCTTTGACTCGGAAAGTCTGACACGTAGTCCACCTCGTCACTTTTGGCGTAATCCACTTCGGACGCTGCCCGCTCCTCGGACGTCGGCTCCTCCCCGGCTTCGTGCAGCCCCCGTTCCGACGCAAGCTGCAGCGCCGCCTGCCGCTTGCGTTCGACCTCGTCGTCCTCCTCTCTCCTGATGCGCTCCTCTTCCCTCTGCAGCTCCTCCATCGAGGCCTCCATGGACGGCGCGACGGGCGTATCCGGCGTCGTGGGCCCGCTCGTCGAACTCCGCCGCACGCTGGGACTGAGCATGGAATGGCTGGAATCGATCGTCGCCCTCGACACCGTCCGCGATATGGGCCGTCCGTCGGCCCGCCGCTTGCCCTTGCTCGCCTTTGTCCTACTGCTGCTGCGGTCGTCTCGGACCTTGTCCAGGACCATGAACTCGTCGTCAAACGGCACGGCGTCCTCCTCACCCTCGCCGTCGCTGGGGAACAAGTCGCCCCGTGACCGGTACGAATCCGACGACACCCCGGACCCCGTCGTCCCGCTGCGATTTCTAGTCTTGGCGGTCCGGCTCTGGAAGACGTCGTGGCCGTCGTTATCATCGTCGTCATCAGAATCGTGCGCAAGCAGCGGCTCCGTCTCGCCCATGCCCATCTCGCCGTGCTGCCGCGGGTGATCCTGCAAATCCGCCGCGCTCGGCTTGTAGCGGAGCGTCTTGCCCAGCTTCCACGGCAGCTTGCCCAGGAACCCAATGGGCTGCGTGCTGGGGATCACCGTCGGATCGGACTCGAGCGCCTTGCTCCCTCTGCCCCGCGTGCCGTAGCTCATGCCGCGTTTTCGTTTCGGTTGATCCTGCTGCACCTCGCCGCCCCCCGTGTTGTTCTTCTGCTGCGACCCCGTGCCCGCGAGCAGGCGGTCCCAGTCGTCGTTGCCCCAGCCGCCCAGGAACCCTCCGTCCTGGTCCTCGGCGTACCAGTCGTCGTAAAAGTCGAAGCTGTATTCAGCCCTGCCGCCCGCGCGATCTCGTTCTCGTCGCCTCCTCGCCCGCTCCTCGCGGTCGCCGAGACACGGGTTGGCGCATTGCTCCAGGGAGGCGGCGAGGGAAGCGAGACACGGGTTGATGTAGTGGTGCTGGAAGCTCCAGATGCCGGCGGCGGCGTTCTCCGTCACCTCGCCGGCGTTGTGGGAGATTTGGTTCCATCGCTGGCGCAGCCGCGGGTCCTCCAAGAAGGCCATGGTGGTGATGGCTGCTGCAGGGTCTCGAGGGATGACGTCGCGGGCATCAAGAAGGGAACCAAAGGGAAGGAAGCGGATTTTTAAATTAAACGATCGGCGCGGCCTCGACCCGGGGTGCAAGCAAAGGGCAAATGTCGAGGCCCTCGTTATCGAATTGCTGGTGATGGATATTCAGTTGAAGAAAAGTCCAGAGGCGAAGGGAGCCATGGGACGTGGATTGGGCGAGTAACGGTTGGTTTCAAGTGCGCCGGAAACAAAAGGCAGCCTCACCTCAGCTGTCAAAAGTTGGGCTCAACATTCCGCTGGTTGCAGCAGGTGGGCGCGGGCGCAGGCGCAGGCGTAGGCAGTCAGGGTGGCACTCCCTCGGGGGCCCTTGGGGTTCGCTGCAGCTGCGGGTGCGGGTGCTGATGCAAGCCCAGTGCAGTGGACTTTCGGATTGTCAAGGCCCATGGGCCATGGCAGGTGCGTTGGCACTATCTGTGGCTGGTGGCCCCTTATCGCAGACTTTCCGGACGGATAAGGCACCCCCAAGGCACCTTTGGGTGGGATTGACTTTGTGGATCCGGGGAAATTGCAGACCTCCCGCCAGGTTGCTGACCAACTGTGGCTTAGCCTCTGGTGAGACCCCTGGAGATCGACGTCACCCCTTCAAGGTATCGGGAATGCATCGTCATTTATAAACTTTGGGCCTCGCAACATTTGACTTTGGGGTACAGTCCCCGAGACTCTGTAAACTCTGCCAAACAAAAGCACGTGGAGATTGATTGTATTCCGAACCACTACAGACGCCGAACGCTGCTAATCTAGACAGAGCTTGCCAAGGACTATCATCATCTCAACCCCTGTGCTTGTTTGCTCGTAGAAATCATGACGGCCATGCCTTTCGTGCCAGCCAAACCCATTGAAAGAGGTCAATGAAAGCCAGGCCAAGAATGCAGAGCACAAAGGTCCTAAGAGAAGACCGACAACAGCGCATTCATCTTTGCCTGGCAGAAATGCCCGACTCGTGAAAGAACACGGCCAGTCTTCTGCTTGAGAGACACGTGCTTCTTCTTGTGATGCCACATGGGCAAGATGGCGGCCGTCTCGCTGGTGGACTGGGCATCGAACACAGGTCCCACCGGTGTAGCCCCCGAAACGCTCTGTCCGGATTCCTAGTGGCCGTTCGTTGCAGCTTGGGGTACTGGTGGTCTCTCTGGACCGTAGGGTCTGGGGGGTTCTGGCTCTCCAGGCTGGGGCTCCTCCTCCGTATCATCGTCAAACTCGCTCGGATCCTCCTCGCCCTCCTCCTCCTCGTCGTCCGAGTAGTCGCTGCCGTCCCCGTCCATGTGGCCGTTGCTGTCCGAGTAGCAACTCTCCAGTGTCGCCGCTGCTCCGGGCGGAACCTTGCGGCCCTGCTGCTGCATCTGCTCGATAATGCTTCTAAGCTTCTCGGCTCTCTTGATCGCCTCGGCCGCCTTCTTGCGCCAGTCCTCGCGCTCCTCGGCCATGCGGATGATGTTGGCATTCGTCGCCTCGTGTTTGCGCTTCATCGTCTCGTTCTCCTTCTCCAGCCGCTTCGTCTTCTTAGACATGTCCTCCATTTCCTTCCGAAACGTGAGAAAGAGGTCGTTGCTGTTGTTGAGCGTGTCCTCAACCTTGATCTGTCAGCAAAAGCTCAGCCCAAACCTCTGCAACTTTTCATCAGTCATCATACCTGCTTGAACTTGTCCACGTAGACGTTGAGTTGATTCCGAAGCTCCGTCTCCGTCTTGGTAAAGGTCTGAACCTGCGCCTGGAGATTCCGCGCTCTCGTCGACTCGGCCTCTGCGAGCTTCTTCTCTCGTTCGTAGCGCGCCATGTTGTATTGCACCTCCAGCTCCTTGGTGCGCATCGTGGAGTGGAAGTGCAGCTCACGCAACTCGTACTGCTCAATGAAGGACTTGAACCGGTTCTTGAATCTGCAAGGGGTTAGTCCAGCGCAACAACGACGGCAAGTGACATACAAGGTGTCAACGCTCATGTCCACAACCTGCTTCCGCGGATGGTCCTTTTCTTCTTGAATCCCCTCAAGCTTGGCAAGCAGGGCCGCGTGCTTCTCATCGTACGCAGAGCTGTTGTGCTTCAGGTTGTCCTGGAGGGTCTTGTTCTCGTTCTAGGTACACAAGGTCAGCCGTGCCCCGTCCGCTGGCGAAGGGGGGCCGCAAACCTTGTACTTGTTGTTGTCCCGCTGCAGTTCGCGACAGAGCTTCTCGAGCTTCTCCTTCAGGCCGACCGTCTTGCTGAGCTCGGTGCGATTCGCATCCTTTTCCTTTTGCAGGGCGTCTCCACGTTTCTTGTTCTTCTGGTTCTCGCGCTCCACACGGCGCATGTCGGCTAGCAGTTCGCTGGACCGACGGGTGAGGTGCTCAATCTTTTGCAGATCGCTCATCTTTGCCACCTGTTGGGCCAAATCACGGTTCGCACGCTTGACCTCGCGCTCTGTTGCCGTTAGCCCCGCCACTGCAGAAATAGAACCCCACGAACCGCCAGCACGAGAGGCTCCCGTCTGCGCCTGATCATGACCATGACCATGACCATGACCGTGACCGTGACCGTGATCATCGTGGCCATGACCTTCGCAGACTTGGGCAAACGCGCGACTCGGCCCCTCCGGCCTCCAGGAGGGGTAAGGCACGATGGGAGGCGGTACGCACCAATCTCAGCTTCCTGATCCTTCTCTCCAGCTGATTCTTGCTCTAGCTGCGAGATGCGTTGCGCGAGCAGCTTTGCAGACTCGTTCGAGTCGACCGCCTTCTTCTGCTTTCCCTTCTTCAGGGACGCCGGCGGGTGGGCGTGACCATCTTGACCGTTGGACATGTCGGCGTCGGCCTGGCTGAGGGGCATTTACTCGGCGGGCAGGAGGGGTAGCGGTTGTATGTGTTCCTTCCGTGTCGTCGGCGACGAATTCGCATCCGAGTTCGATCGATCGAGCGGGTCGGCGTCGCAAAAACGAGTCGTCGTGGGCGTCAAGTCGGGTCCCTGGTTTCCCCGCGGCAGTCTCAACCGCAATGTT